ACCTGGGACTCAACTCCACATGAATACAGATGTTGCTTTCTATCTGTTAACTGACTTCAACTGTGAGCATCGGTGTCACGTGACAGTTGGACAAAGAACTGAGAGGGATGTGCACAAATTTCATCCACAACTGCCCGGCTACTTCTTTAATCCCCGTAATCCTTCTCACGAGTGCTGGCCACACGACTGGATACGACTCATGCTAGTATAACACAGACAGCTGGAACAGTTTCACACTTCTGTCTTCAAAGTGTGAAACTGTTCTAAACGTATGTCAGCACCACCTTCTCCCCATGTCTGATGTCCAACTCTCTCTGCTCCTGTAGATTTAGGTCCACATCCACCATGGTAGCCCACAATGCAAACTGCAGAGTAGAGGCTGATAGTGTGCTCAGCTAAGTTCTCAGTTGTTTGCACCCATTATAGCCTATAGTGTGTTTTATAATTTAAGTAGCAATGATTTATTGATGATAGAAATGCAGCTGATATAGCATATTAAAGACACCATGTATTATTGATTCTGCTGTGTGTGTGTAAGCCACTGATTGTCACTGTCTGACTGCGGTCAAACCTGAATTATAGCAGATGGGACAATAAAATAAAAAATTATAAATAAAATACTCATACAAGAGACACAGTGAAAACAGCTAGTCCAAGCACTGGACATCATTAGAGACAGAGTAGTGAGGTTATTGTTATATGTAATTATCTCATATCTCAAATAAGATTCTCCCTGACACCACTAAAAGCCAGGTTTAAATTTTTGTGACCCCAATTGACTCAATGCTTACTGTCTATATACATACTGTTTAAAATCCCATGTGACTCCATAACACCGTGTCACATCACCATCACAACAACAGCCGCAGCACCCTCGTGGCTGTTATGGCTTTTACATAATAAAACACATGTGCAGTCACAGTGTCAAACTAGTGCACAAATGAAAATAATTTTAAAAAAGAAGAACAAAAACATGAAATATCACTTAAAGCAGAATAAGAGCAGAAGGAAATGTGTCTCAACATCCATGTTTTATGGTGCTTTTCAAAATTAAAGGAACATTCTGGCATTTTAGGGGGAAAATGCTTTTGTCTGCGTCGTTGTGAGAGTTGGATGAGAAGAACCACACGTGCTCGTGTCCGAGGGAGCCTGGCTCTAATGAACCAACCAAAATGTTCCGTACACTGGAAAGTTTAGTTTTTCCACGTCCGATTTTGTTGCAGTGAAACAAGTTAGAGGAGTTAAACAAAGGTTTCCTGTCTTTATGCTATGTTACATTATTCTGTGCATTGCTATCCTGCACTGCACTACGCTGCTCGCTCTAGCTTTATTTTTTACCATGTATTGGTCATCTTATTAACTCAGCAAGACATTAACATGTATTTGCTGAAAAGTTAAATTAGTTCCTTGTCAGATTGCTTGAGATGTGAGATTTGTATAGGTCATAAAACCAGCCATGTAAGCAGACATGGGACAAAATAAAAGACAAAGAATGCCTTCAATTCTTGTGTTTTCAACATTTGCACAGCAGCATTAGTATTCATTTAGATTCATGTTTGTGCTTAATATAATTCTAATATTCACGCTTCTTTAATCTCTTAAACCAGTCTGACAATATCCAGATGTTTTGTTGCTAAACATTCCAGTTGTGATGCTGAGCAACTAATTAAAAACTTTGTGTCTCCACCTGAAATGATGGACTGCTGCAAGGTGGAGCTGTGGCCTCGACAAACAATCTGAAAAAACTCTTTAGATTTAATAGTTTCTGCAGAGGTGTGTGTGTCCGTCACGAAACCTCCACATTGCACATTAAATACTGATCAGTGCAGCTTTAGGGTAAAAGTTTACATTTTGAGGACCGAGTGCTAACTCATCACTCTTCCTGTGCCAATTTTTCCTGGGATCATTTCCCAGAATCAGCTAAACCCTGACGTCTGGAAGTAGCTTTCTCAGTCCCAGCCACATTTTCTGATTCGCTCTGATAGGATGGGTGTATTTTTACTATAGAAACCTTGCCGAGTGCAGCTACATTTTGATGTCTTAAAATAAAATCTTGGATCAGTCCTTTGAAGCCTTTCCCGTGTCCACTTTGGCAAAGCTGTGGCTGTAAATAATGTAGTTTGCAGCCACAGAGCCCACCGCGTCCCCATTTAGAGGCCCAACATTCAATAAATCGAAGTTTTATACACTCATCTAAAAGTGTCTTTCGGTCTTTCTTTCCCAATTCCTCGCTGTCTTTCCCTCCGTCTCAGATCGATTCCCTGCTGCTCTCCTGTAATCGCTCACTCTGCTCCTCTCTCTCACTATTCAGTCGTTCTCTAACTCTACCTCTTTTCTTTTCTCTCCCCATTTCTCTCTCCTATTTCTGGTCCCAGATGCATCAATTATTCATGACTCTGCATGGACTTTTTCTTGAAAACAGGGCTATCAACAAGAGCTGCCCGGGTCATCATGTTACCCCTGAGCATCCACCTGTGACATATACAGTCCCACATGAGGATACATGCATGCATACACACACACACACACACACACACACACACACACAGCTGCAACACAAATGTTATTGTGCACGTACTCAGAGATGCAGGGGGAGGCAGGCAGGTCACGTTTTTCACCAGATGAGCGTTAAAAAACCCCACAGCAGATTCAGAAACAGCCATGTTGAATTTAAGCAGAGATATTCAATGTCTGTCTGTGAATCAAGAACTAGAAAACGATGTGCACAGAAACACGCGACTTCGACAGGATTTAAAGATGCAACTCTATCCTAAATGTACAGTTCGAGGCGTTACCATTGCACCACAAAGCAGTTTGAGTTTAACTGCAGATGCTGGAAGTCAGTGAGAGATGGGGGTGCTGAGAGAAACATGAGACATGACTTCACTATGTATTGGTAACTTGTAAATGTATTTATACAGAGCTGTTCTAGTCATGATCACTCCAAGCTGTTGAAACTACAGATGTACCATTTACCCATTCACACGTTCCTACAGTGCATCTATGTGCAGCACTCTCTCTGTCACACACTGTTAGCACAGCCATCTTGAGCAATTTTGGGTTCAGTATCTTATGCAAGGACACTTTAGACTAGGATCAAAATGCTGACCTTCTGGCTTGTGGACGACTTGCTGTACCTCCTGTCTACGGTGGCCGAGAGAGTTCAACTCACTGCAAATTAAGAAAACGTGATGAGCCTGGCTGTAGTTCAATGCTTTTTGAAGTTCCATCACCACTGACGAGTAGCGGACTTCAGTTACTTCATAAAGCATTGTGAAGCCAGGTTCATCACTTATATGGGTCCCCTAGAAAAACATTTCCGAGGTTGTTTTAACTATTTGCGATGCGTTTCTGGATTTGCATGTGTTGTTACTCTTTGCAGCGTTCGTGTCATCAAATTGATGAAGCTGTTTTCTTAATTGTGTGTTGAATGTGTTGAACTCTCTCGGCCAACGTCGCATGTAACCTCTGCATCAGGGAAGCTACACAGGAAATGCACAGGATGTTCCACGACAAATTTAGATATTGCAAAAAATGATAAATAATAAGCTTTGCTATCACTAGGATTCTTCTCTCAAAATGTTTCCATGGAAAATTAAATGAAATCAACATTTTTATAAACTTTTTGCCTTGCAGTTACAACCCCTCAACAAAGGGGGGTGCTGCTTCCCCCCTGAGCACCCCTACCTCCAGCATGTAGAACAATTACTACTTTGTAAAAATGTAAGATGCAGGTGATGCATTCGACTGGAGAGTATTGAGCAAGGCACATAAGCGAAAATGTGAAATGAAGGGGTAGTAGCGTTGTGCTTTAATTTTATTCTCGGCCGGTGTTGTTGGCCCTGCAGAGCGGGTGCCCATCCTGTGAGCTCATTTTGCACAGCGAGGGTACAAGGGTTGAAAATATTTACAGAAAATCAGCTCAGCCCTGTGGCTGGACGCTTGGCTCGTTTCCCTGACAGCACTGACCACAGCACAAATCTGTGGCCCGGATAGAGCTTCACGAGGCTGCAAAAACATGCAGGGATAGGTATTTTAAACAGAGCGTTTTAGGGGATAACACACATTTATTTTCACATTGAATGTGAAAACAAGCATAATGTGATGACTCTGCAAACGCTGGTTATTTCTGTGCTGTGGTGTTTCATTACACCGGTAAAAAAGGGTCCACAAGGTAAAACATGAGCGGGGATAATATCAGATATACAGGATTCTTGGCTGGAATAAAAGCAGATTGTTTCGTTCTGACTTGAAATGAACTTTTGGTCTGTGTATTCAGAGTGTACAACAGATACAGGCTCCAGAGAATAAACCTGTCATGGAGAGTTGACCTCAACTTCTTATCCTTCTCTCAGCATGTTAAACTGAGCCTGAGACCCACAGCCCTGCAGAGAGAAAGCCTGGATTTATACTTCAGCGTGTAGGTGAACAACACAGAGGGTTGAATACATTTACATAGTGGCTTCTAGATAGATTCTTTTATTGTTATATGTTGATATTTGTTTTGGCCTCCATTTAGAAGCAACCTCCCAACAGGAGCCGTATAATCAACCAATCAACTTCCTTAACGTGCAGGTCCACAGTTGAGATTTGCCCTTGAGATCATGAGGCAGCAGACCATTAGAGCCCAGTAGCGGCCGGCAGCAGGTTCCTTTACCTTCCGGAAACTTAAACCAAGTTTACACCAAAATTAGCATGTATGCAGATTATTTAAAAACTGTGATTTACTAATTTTTCATTGTCAGTAGACGAGTTTGCCAGTTTAGAGCTTCAGGAAGGTGACGCACTTCCATCACACACCATGTGAAATATATCATGATATTTATTAACTGACATGACAATTTCATCCTGATATAAGATAAAAAATTATGATATCATCCAGCCCTAAGTTACACTTCAATGTGTATTGTAGCCACCATACTATAGTAGTGCAGTTTTTTAAAGGTGTGTGACACGTATACAGCTATATCATAAAAATATGTTTTCTGTCCTCCGTCCAGGTCGCATGTCCTCGCTGTTCCGACACTTTCTGCCTGGAAGACGTTCCAGGAGGTGGGTGCTTGTCCAACGTCTAACAATGTCCACTCAGGCCATATTCAGCTGGTTCGACTGAAACAGCAGCTCCATTCTGTCACTTCTGATTTCCTCGGGAGTTCAGTTCAGGTGACCACAATCTTTCCAAACCTCCTCGGTGCCTTATAGCTGTTATCTCAAGTGTGTGACCTCCCATGAGGCAGTGGTTCAATAGTAAATATCGATCAATGGGAGTGAGGCCTTCGACTGTCTATACGATGCACTGAAACACGGGCCGAGAGGGGCAGTGAGGGGGAAAGGGCTGCGACCAGGAATATCAGGACTTAAGGCTGCATGAGTTACAGCTCAGCACAGCTCAGCGAATGAGTTAGTGTTATGCAAGAGCTCAGTCAGCCCAGCTGGGGATCAGAGAGAGGGGGGGGGGAGAGAGAGAGAGCAGGGAGAGCACGAGCGAGGAGGAGGCTCAACAGCAAGTGAGCAGAGAGCGAGCAGATTACAGCTGGATCCACCACATTTATACGCACACATGCACATGTGAGCACACACATGCACGCTCCCTCACTTCATCTCTGTCTCTCAGCATCATGAGCAGTAACGCCAGGGGGGGGTTCCTCTCTCCACCGAGGGAGTGAGGAGGAAGAGAAGGACAGAAGAGGAGGACAGGTGAGAAGGAGAAAGAAGAGTGAGGAGGAGGGACAAGAAGAAGAAGAAGAAGAAAAAGGGAGCCGCAAACTTTCCCCTCAAGGATATTTCCCCCCTTATTTTGACAATGAGGCTGTGAATTCCTCTTCGTCTCACAGAACGCCTCTTCTKCATTATCTGACCCCATGGCTCCCAAAGTGGGTCCCACCGGTCAGAGCCACCTCTGGATGCTGCTGGGGCCCCTGCTCTGTGCACTGGTCCTGGCTGAGGGCACCGTGCTCAGCACAGAGGACCCGCAGGCCACCGGTGCCATGTCGCTGCCGGAGAACTGGACCGGCACGACTGTCCAGCTGCAGCCGGACCTGCAGACTGAAGCCGAGACGCAGACAGCAGCACAGACGGAGGCACAGACGGAGGCAAAGACGGAGGCAACGACAGAGGCTGTGACAGAGATGCAGACTCAGAGCATCACCAGCAACTACACAGGTTAGTGTATCTGTCAATCACCAACTTATTTTTCCTTTTTTTACTGTACACACAAAGTTGTAACGCTGCAAGAAATCATTTGTGCCATAACATCGAGAATTTACAGATTTTGATCCAGGGCGACAAACAACTATTCATCAAAGATTCAGGCGACTATTTTATTGAAAAATCAAGAAATTGTGTGAAAAATGTTCATCACCATCGATCATCGTGGTCAGTGGTCCAAAACTGAAAAATATTTAGTTTTACCACAAAGACCTTAAATACAACCAATATTTGAAAAGCTGAAAACCAGCGACATCATGGGTTTAATTAAATTAATTAAAAAAATACATTTTCCTTTATTTCTAAATAGTTTTTAAAAAACAATTTATCATTTATTGGTTCAACTAACTGACTAATAGCACAGTCTGTATAGATTAATGAATCTATTAAGGGCTCATGTCAAATTAATTGACTCTTGGGTCTAAGCTTTTATCTTTCTAACCAAGCTTTTCCTTTGAATTTCCTCATTTCACATAAAACAAAATGCTTCTTTAACTCCACACGACACACGCAGACCATTGGACCCGAAATAAAACTTCACGCTGACTTCCAGTGAGTCGGTGAAATCAAGATTTGCTAGATATTAAAATATTTGAACTACATTTTCGCATTACTACGTCTTCTTAAAAGCATAAAAACCAGAGCAATTGCAGTAAATTAAATAAGACAAATTGTAAGAAGTCGTGATAAGTATCTGTTGTGCCAAAGTATGTTTCCCCTCAGCTTAACCTGAACCCGACCTTAACCTCAAGCTTCTCATGCGAACCTCAGCCTTGACCTCACCTTCACACCCAAACCTAACTATAACTCGATCTCAAGAAGTTTGTCACAAGACTGGGATTTCAGACGTATTGGCAAAACTTTAAAGCCGCTAAGAAGCCTTGAGTTGCACCGATATCACATAGCAACCAAAACATATCTTATCACGTCACTGAAATTGTTTTCATGGGCTCATTCAAGGGTGTTTTGCCATTTTTCTTGCTTGAGCACCCATTCAAGAAACACCCCCCCCTTCCATTCTGTTTGGAATTCACACACCATGAGAACGTAGTGATTTAAAGTGACACAGTCTGATTTTGTAAACATCTGTATCTGTCTGGCTGCTGTAATCTACAGCACGTGAGTGTTTGTGCATGGATCCACTCTGTTTTTTTTTTGGACTGGTTTTACTTCTTCAAAAGGGTTTGAGTCTTAGTTTTAGTGTTGGGGTTGTAGTGGTTGAGGATTTTAAGTCGGATTAAGAGCTTTGCAATGACTTTTGTCAGTACGTTTAAAGTATAAAAGCAACAAATAGTTTCTGTGTTTGCAAAATCACGTATAATTGTATAATTAATGTTTTTTCGGTGCTAGTCTGGTAATGCAGAAGTGAATGCACACAAGTGCGTGTAAGTGTGCGTATGGCTGTGTGTATATGTGTGTGTGTCTGTGCGTGGTGGCAGGTGAAACACTTTGTTATGTCCAGCTTCTAGGCCTGAAGAGAAAGCTGCAGCACTGCTCGCATGACTTCACCTCCACTGACGCATGAGCTGCCTTTCTCTTCTCCTCCGTTCCCTCTGTCCATTTTCTCTCTCTCTCTTTCTCTTCTCCTCTCTGTCTATACGTCGCTCTCTCACTTCTCTGTGTTTATTTTCGTCAGCCTCTATCTCATCTCTCTCTTTTGTCACTAATTGCTTTTTCTCCCCCGTCACTTTGTGTCTACACACTTTTTCTCTTCCTTTTTATTCTCTCTCTGTCTGTCACTTCTCGTTTCTTCCTTTATCTCCTTCCACTGTTTCTCTCTCTTTTTTCACCACTTCTCACTCACAGAGCACATATCCTCACGTGCATGCATAAATAGCCTATAGCAGGGGACAAAATGCTGGCCTCACGTGCCTCCCTCACACACACACAACCAAATACACCCACACCCACACCCACACACACACACACGTACACACGCACACACGCACACACACACACACACACACAATCAGAAATGCATTCGGCCCAAACGACAACAATCTTCTTAAAGGTTTAGGGAATAAACAACACAGTTCTTGTTTCATAAGGGCAGCTGTGAGTCTGACAGGGCAGGAATAAGCACCTTATATTTTAATAACACACACACACACACACACAAACACACACACACACACACAGGTGATCAGCTGGCTTGCCACATCGCCCCGCATGCATGAATTACGCCAGTTTTTATGAGAGAGCTTTCACAATTTCCAAAAATCCCGGAGGTGTGATTAACATCAACTTTCCCAAAAGCAAAATGTGTGTGTGTGTGTGTGTGTGTGTGTGTGTGTGTGTGTGACATGAACTATTTATTTCCAGATGCATGAACAGATAAACTCTGCGCTGGGTTTATTTTTTTCCCACCATATTTTAGGCCTGTTGGACTCTTTCTTTCCTTCAGGTCTGGATTACAGCAGCAGCACTGTGTTTGTGTATCGGACGTGTTAGTTTCAGCTTCTGAACAGTCTCAGTTGAAATTTATGGGACAGAAAAATCTAAATAAATTCAGTTAAGTATAGAAGGCTTTTGTGCGTGCTGAGCTTCTGGACAGGGAAGATTTATAAAGCAGACAAGTTAAAGCCAGTGAATGAAGACAGGTTTGTTACATAAGTGGTTTCTAACCTATTTTTCTGTAATCGGCCTGAACCCCTTTGTCAGCATCACCTGTCAAGTTCAAATGTGTCGTCATTAACTATTTAAAAGTGGATATTGTTACAATATTTTGTTCAAACAACTGAAATGTCCATATTAGATTGGTTTGGTTGAGTTTTCATTTAGCTTACTATCACTGCAGGGCCAAGACTTCATTACGTACTTATTTTCAGCTTTAACAAGAGCAACATCCACATTTCTTTATAACAACTTACTTTTTTATTTCCTTTTTTAATCCTTTTTAACTAACTCTTATTTATAACTATTGCATCACTTTATTACTTTGATTAAAAGTATTTTTCCAGTAGGCTTCTTCTTTTCACTATTTCACCATGTTTAGCAAACTGTTCCATCCTCCACTGGCCAACTATTTCATCTCTTTATTGATTACTTGCAGCTAGTGTCTAATTATGTTAGCGGCCTATTCAGACAGTAAATTCATTGGGCCTATTGTTACCTTTTACCCAACACCTGTTTTCAAATCGATAAAACCGGTGAAGGCTTGGACCCTCGGAGCGCTTCAGACTGTCAATACGAGCCTTGATTTATTATGCAGCTCATCCGGGGATTCTGTGCTGCGGATCGTTCCTGGAAATAATGTGATCAGAGTTCTGCTATTGATTCATTCATTTTCAGGAGCTCCTCGTTTGACCTCAGGCTGGATTTACACACACTTGTAACTCTTCAAACTCTCTCTGTAGGTCTGAAAGTTTGTTCATCAGTGGATAACGGTTAGCCTGTTAATGGGATAGTTCACCCATGCTGATGCTGGGGTGGGTGAAGTGTTTGAGTCCACAAATCACTTTAGGAGTTTCTGCGGTAAACAGTGATGCAGCCAAAACCAATAAAACTGAAGTAGATCTTCAAACATAAAATGCCTCCTTGCTGCTCCTGTGGTGACATCCAAGTGTCTGCAAGCCTTGACATTACACTAACAAGTGTTTGGACTCAAACACTTCACCATTGGCTTCGTGGTGAGTAGATAATGAGTGAAATTTCATTTTTGGGTGAACTATACCTTTAAGATGCTGGAGAGCAGTTATTTCAGCTTTAGCAAATCCATTAACACAGTAGCACGACCTATTAACCTCGACAGGGTGTGTGAGAGTTAATGTTAGTGTTAATCTCTAAATGAGGCCTACGTATATCAGTTACTTAGCAGGTAGTCTGCCTTTTAATCTAACCAAACAAGAGTTTACAGTCGAATCCTGTTTATAGATGTGTTTTTTTCCCCCTGTACTACCTTATCTTTTTACTCTTTTGTCCACAAATACTTACTCTGTAAACTTCTCACTCTGGACAGGTTCATTTTACCTGAGGCAAAGGGGCCGTTATGTTCCTGCCAAAAGAAAATACAGGAGAATAAAGAAAGTACAACAGTGCACATGGTCAACAACTAAACTCAAAGTCCTTGTTGTTCCCAGCGGCCCCTGAACTCATTCTACTTCTAGAATCAAAACAAATACCGATGTTCAGCTTGAGATACAGCATCTACTTCTTGATGACAATAAGCAGCTTATTCTTCACACTGAGTCTCTCTGGATAAGATCCTCAGTGGAAAGCCCGAAACGTAAATGTATAACGTTACAATGCCAGTAATCTGATTAACTGACAAGCAAAGCCAATTACCTTTGTCTATTCCCGGCTATTTTGAGTGCAAGAAATCCTGTTAATGGCATGCTAACACACAGGAATACAGATGCACATGTTGGCAGAAGCAGGTGGAGTTCAGTGTATTTTGAGGTCAGTTTGTTTTCATTGGAGTCATTGGAGGAAATCTATACCTTCATCTATCATTCCTCATACGAGCAGGAGGCAGTATGATAATATTCTAATATATAGAAGAAGGAGTTTTAGTCATTTGAAGCTCTAAACTTCAGAAGAAATATCTATGTTTTAGTAAACACTGATGGCCCAGAAGAGGAGGTTCCGTGGGGATGCCACATTCACACATGCAAAGCCAAGAGTTTTTCTGTCCACGACATGCTATCGTCACCCCTGAGCCTTGCGGACTTGGTGAGCTTCAGACAAAGAGTTGCCTCTGTCTCCTGCCTGTCAATCCAATATGGCTGCTGGCAGTGACTCAACTTCATTATTACCTTCCCACGGCTTAAAGCTAGCACCACAAACTTGAACAAAGACCCAGAGGGAGAGGCTGAAATGAGCCGTCTCTCTGCTCTGGTGGTTAAAGCAGGGTGGCAACAGCTAAAGGGCAAAAGGAATGAAAGTAACGAGGCTGCAGAGGATAAACACACCTCTAAAAAGTCATCGAGATGGTTTGTTGGTGCATTTTTTCATGC